GGACTCCTGTGACTCTTCTACATACTGAGGTGCATCTTGGGGACATTGACTTCCATATGATATCTGCTGTCTTCAATAAGTCTGCTGGGAGACTCATGAGGTCTTTGAGGTAGGGCATTTGGGAGAGTCTAGCTTCACACTGGACACAGGGTGAGGTAGAGAAGACAGCTGGAGCCAAGTGTGATCACCTTATCCTGTCCTCCAGTCTCTTCTCATGAAAGCATTCGTCTGCTCTATTCCCCACTGCTCTTGGAAGGTTGTTCTGAGCCCCACTTTCCATTGAATCTTGAAGCATTCCAGGGGGTCACTCCTTACCTTGTATCATTCCATCCTCCTGGAAGATTATTCACCCTTTCTATTTATCATATTCACAATTTTTTTTTTGCAATACTGGGGTGTGTAGTCGGGGCCTCCACCTTGAGCCACTCCACCAGCCCTTTTTTTGTGATAGGTTTTTTCAAGATAGGGTCTCTCACACTATTTGCCCAGAATAGCTTCAGACAGAGATCCTTTGTGTCTCATGAGTAGCTAGGTGCACAGGCACGATCCTCCAGCACCTGGCCATATTCACGATTATTTCATACCAGTATGATCACCCTGTTATTACCTGCCTTGGTCTGTTCCCATTTCCCCAATAGCATGAGAAGTTTTTTCCTCTGGTACTTTTTTCTGTGACCCTTGAAGCCACAGGCCTAGAGAATGTCTCAAATGAATGAGTGCTGTAGAATTGACAAAAAGATGTGGTACCAGAGGGAAAGGGAGGAGATACAATTGTCACACAAATCACTCACTTGGTGCCACATGTCCTGTGTGCACTGAAAATTATATCCTTCTACACTGATCATTTATTTGCCAAGATTGAAGGTTAGCAACAGCATAATTGTTACTTGTCCAACTCCACAAGCCTGTCCCCAAACTCAGGCATTTGCAGACAGTTAATTCAACTGTATCAAAATGACAGTAGAAGAGACAACCAGGTCCTTGTCAGTCAAAACTGTGGCCACAGTGGAGCCAAGGTGCTGCCAGGACTGCAGACCTACCAGGATAACTTGGCCTGATTACTCACACTTTCTGAGCTTAAGTTTCCTCTGCAAAATAAGTGAGATTGACTGGATGATCTTCTGAGATGTGAGCCTATGCTAGCCTTCTCCTTGACATCTTAAGTTTCCAAGGGACTTGATGCTTGCTTTGGTGGGACATGGTGAGCTCTGTCATCCTTGAGCCAAGAAAAAGATGTTTCTTCAGCGTAGTGCTGTCTGTGCCTTTTCACAAAAATGGGAACCAACAACAACCATATTCTCTACCAAGATCATGGGAATTGCATGCTCTAGTAGGGACAGCCAGAGAAGTAGATCTGTCAGATGCATCATGGCCATGGCCCATCTTCACTGCATGTGACTGCCTGAGCCCAGACCCCTTTTCTCTTGTGCTTCGGGGTACCAGTGCCTGTTGGTACCATCAGCATCAATAAAGGGTGATGTCATGGGGCCCAGCATTCTCATGGTGACCAATGATCTTGTTCTCTCACTCCTTTCCAGGTTCCTGCTAAGATAAGGAGACATACATGAGGCAAATTCTGTTTCCCTACAAATCCAGATCTGGGTCAGTATAGACCTAGCTGGGACATAGAGGACATACAGGATATGGCTCTCTCATTCCACTGGAATCTGGCCTGAAGCTGAGGGACACACCTGACTTTCACCTGGGCTCCTACTAACCCAGTACTGCTCCTTCCCTGGATGCTTTAAGCACCATCAATGTTATCTCTGGTCTCTACTTCTGGATTTCCCTGTGTCCCTGCTCAGACCATCCCAAAAGCACCCTAGGGTTTGTATTCCCTGCCACATTGTCAAGCATCTTGATCTTTTGTTTTCTCAGAGACACAGCAACTGTGAGTTACATGCTTATTTGCTATGGAAATATTGTAGGTGCTGGGAGTGAACAATGACTAGGAACAAAGGGATCCTCATCTGAGATTTTTAGCATTCATTGGGGAGGCTATTAAAGACTATGAAGAATACACAAGTCCCTGGAGGAAGCTCTGGAGGGTGCAGGACCACGGGATCATCAAATGGCCCACACAAGGACTTAGAAAAAACAGTTGCGATGTCTAAAGTGACACCTAAGGAATGTGCAGTTATGATTCAGAGGAGGAAGCAAGTGGATGAGGGGCTTTTTGGGTAGAGATGACAGCGAGTGCAAAGGATCAGGGAAACAGAGGGCTACATGGTTTAGGGACAATGGTGTGTCCACTGAGCCTAGTGTTTGGAGCCATCTGACAAGGTCGTTGCAGCTTAGCAGGATCCTGACAAGGTCAGAGACTGCAAGTGCACCATGTCTCTCACTGAGGTTTTGAGGGGACAGGGAGTGGCTCCCTTTGTCTGGAGAAAAGAAACATTAACCTGAAGGTATTTGTTTATGAAAGGTCAGGAACATGTGATATGTACTTAGTAACCAGGCCTGGATTTTGTGTATGTGAAACCAGGTGAAACTAGGTGAAAACAGGGAGGTCTGGGTTTCATTAGTGAAATTAGGAGGGTCCAGGGTTCATTTAGGAAACCTAGGAGATTGGACCAAGAACATTGTTTTCAGGTAGAGGGCATTGTTTCTTAGGCATAGAAAACTTTCTTTGTTTTGTATAACTTCCTACTTTGTACTGCTTATAAGCCTGATGCAAAAATAAAAAATTTGCCAGTTGGTCATCAGCCTTCTGGCCCTTTCAATATGTGTCTTGTCTGTTTATTCCTTCCCTGAGCCCTTCTGGGTCAAGGACCTCTGTGATCCTGGCAGCCTAGCAAGTTGGAAGTGGTTGAGGGAGTTCTGGGACATGAAGGCACACAGGAGGAGGCCAAGGTCATGAATGACCATGAAGGGCTCTTGAAGAGTTTCTTCTTAGGCAGTGGGAGATGCTAAATATTTTTGAATGCATGGCAGAAGAAACTGAATAGTATTTCACCATGTGATCCCATTCATGGATATGTGACATTAATCTTCATGGGTTCTCATGGGTCCTTACAGTTGGGAGATAGGGGAGGCCTCCACCAACTTGGAGGATACACGTCCAGTATTCCAAAGGGTTGGTTTGGTTTTATACGTAGTCACGTTGCTGTGTGTACACAGTTCTCCATAGCTGCTGGGAAAAGAATAAGCTATAGAGGTTTGGAGGAGAGCCAGGGTGTTTTGTCCTATGTGTGGGTTTCTCAAACATGGTTTGTAATCAGATTTGAAACTGACTCTAGAGGTTGAATGAGCACTGTTGCATATTGCATAGAGGGAGTGAGGGAGTGAGCTGTGTTTACCCCGTGCAGTTCTGACCCAAATGTGTGGGCTCTTACAACAGTCTGAAGATATCCACAGTGGATGGTGTCCAAAAGTTCCACTGAATTCTGAAAGTACCTGGCATTAGTGTCTCATTCTAAAGGTTTATGGACTCAGTCCCCAAGACAATACTGCCATCAGATGGCAGTCAAAGCACTGTGTATCCAGTGCACACACATTTCTGTACAACATGGGTACAGAACACCTTTTTGTGTTCACCATCCCTGAAGGAAAGTAGGATTGTCCTCATTTCACATGCAAAGAATTGGATTCAGCTTCCTTGTGTCATTTCATTCATCAATGTTGCTGTGAAGCAGTTGAATAACTTGGAGTCAGGGGCTCAGGTTAGAGGCCAGTGATTCCAGGTAGAATTCCATCTTTAGTCTGCAAAGGGAGGACTGTGAGGTCCCCTTCGTGTGTTTTGGGTATGTAGCTGCCTTTCCTGAATGTGGCCTCCAGGTGCTCAGAAGAAGGACAAGTGACAGTGAGAAGCTGCAGAACTGGGGAGAGCAGGAGACCCTTGAGCAGATGCAGTTAGAGGTTCTGGTCTTTGAGATGGTGCCTGGTTGCCATAAAACTCTATTCTGGACATAGTTTCGGTGTTTCCACAGTTAGAGGTGCACTGATCAATCTAAATGGAATATATTCATTTAGAAGGTCAGCCTTAGAGAAGCGTTCATTCATGTAGTGCCCTGGAGAAAGGGTTTATGAATTTGAGAACTTAAGTGAAACCACAAGTGACTCCAGATGAGGGTTCCCTGTTGTGAATGTTAAGATTTTAAAGGACACTGGAAGGAGGGGACACACTAGACGTGATGGCTCCTAGGGTGATATTCTTATGTGCCTCTGCCTCAGCCCAGGGGTGGTTCACTCCAGTGATGTAGTTCAGGAGTCAGTCTAGTCTTGTATGTATGTATATATTATTTTTTAATTTGTTTTTGGCACCGGGAATTAAATTCAAGGTGTTGTGCTGGCAAGGCAGGCACTCCACAACTTGAGCCACTTGAGTTTAATCTTCTGAATTAAATGAGGATTTCCTTCTGGTTTCCACTGTAACTTGGATGCAGAGGCTGCCTGTGTGAGCTGGTTCGAGTTTACTTATCTTTGTAGAATACTGGTTCTATAGACCTGTTTCCCCATGCACTGGGTAATTACAGGCCCTTGTGGGTTTTTCTTTTCTTTTCTTTTTTTCTTGGCTGAACACAGGTAAATCATTAGAAAACATGTTGACAAAGCCTTGGCCATAACCACTGCCTCAAGTTCCATTCCTCAAGCGTGACTTGAGCACTTACCTCTTGCTCCAGCGAGGCCCGTCCTGGCTTAGGCTGCCTTTTTCCTCTGTAGTCAGGGATGTCCCCACTGAAGGCACTTCAGAAGGTTAATGCAGTAAGAGCCTAGCTAATTCAGGAAGAAGCAGGTGGCCGCTCTGGAGAGCCACGACACAGGTCTCATTCAATGACTTTTCCCTCAGGTGAGACCAGGGCGGTGCCCACAAGAAAGCGTGGGTTTCGAGGCACAGAGCTGGAACGGGTCCTTCCGCCTCCTCGCCACCAGGTAGGCATCGCTTCTCCTGTCACTCAGCTTGAGCAGTAGCCAATCAGAGCCTTAGAGTCGTCCAATCAGGAGGGCGGAAGGGAGAAAGGCCCGCCCCTCCCCCGTAAGCTTCCTTTCCGCCGCCATAGCTACGCTGCTGACCTGGTACGTGTGAGGTGTTCCGCCCTCCAGTTCCTGTCGCTTTGTGACGCTGACCCCAGGAGCAGGAGTGGACAGCAGGACACCCGGCAGTCAGGAATGGTGAGCGTGGGGCGGGTTTTGTGACACGGGCGAGGAGGGGTTGAGAGCGACTGGGCCCCGCGTGAGCCCCGGAGTCTGCGGCAGAGTCGCCGCCGGCGCCGCTCCGCTCGTCCCCTCGGTCCCCGGGCGGGGCGGGGCCGCAGCCGGGACCCCAAGTTCCTGTCCCTTGTCCCCGCCGGAGCCCCCTGTCCCTCCGCGCCCGCAGCCCCGCGTCTCCCCACAGCGCGGTGCCGGCGGAGGTGGCGGGAGGCTCCCGAGTGGCCGCGGGGTCCCCGTCCCCATCCCGGCGCAGAGTGTTTATTCAGTGGTTAGCATTGAGTGTTGGGAGGAAGTCATTTCATACTAATGTGGCGTGTGGAGGTCACAGAATGAAGTTTGTGCATTCGGGATTCTGTTAGCCACTACCTGGTAGTGAGACCCTGGGCTACATCTGAATAGCGTAGTGGTTTAAAGCTTACTGTTTAAATTTCTGATTGTGGATTCCTGTGTGTCCTGTGGGCAAAGCAGATCGCTTCCTTGAGTTGCATGGGCATGGTTTTGTTGCCTTTGTAGAATCTTTTTTTGTTTTTGGTCAGAACTGGGGTTTGAACTCAGGGCCTACACCTTTAGCTACTTCAGCCCTTTTTTTTGTGAAGGGTTTTTTTTTTGAGATAGGGCTTCTTGAACTGTTTGTCTAGACTGGCTTGGAACACACAGTCTTCCTGGTCTCTGCTTCTTGAGTAGCTAGGATTACTGGCAGGAGCCACTGGCTCCTTTGTCTAATCTTGTTTCTATAAACTTACAGTCTGTTAGCCGTGTGTGGTAGCGCACACCGTGATCCCAGCACCGGGGAGGCTGAGGCAAGAGAGCACCAGTTTGACCCTATCCTGAGCTGCACAGCAAGACCTTGTCTTAAAAACAAAATTAAGTAAAATACCAAGTTAATTAAACAGTTAAGAATTTTTTTGTCATGATTGAATTTAAGATGGTGATTTTTCTAGCTTGGATCTTCAGTGGATGAAATAATGAGGTCTGAAAAAGAAAAGAACTCTTCAGATCATTTCTCTCATATTAGGTTAGTGGACGAGCACTTGCCTGGCAAGTGTAAGACCTGAGTTTGGTTCCCAGCACTGAAAAAAAAAGAACACAGATAGCCTGTTGCCAGTGCTCTCACCTATAATGGTAGCTACTCAGGAGGCAGTGATCAGGAGGATCTTGGTTTGAAGCCAGCCCAAGCAAATACTTTGAGAGACCCTATCTTGAAAAACCAACACAATGTAGGGCTGGTGGAGTGGCTCAAGTGGTAGACCACCTGCCTAGCAAACGTGAGGCTCTGAGTTCAAATCTCAGTACCACTCCCCTCTCTCCCTCCCCCTCCAAGAAAAGGAATCTGTATCCCCCCAAAAGAAGGAATACAGATGTCCCTCAACTCTCCAATCACATGAATAAATAGGCCCTGGTCATTGCTGGCATCTTCCCGACATCTAGCTCTGTATCCAGAGGGTTTTTGTTTGTGCAGGTGCTCCATGCTTGGATATTGTTTATATCTTTGTCATCTATTTTTTCAGTAATCAGAGTTTTTATTGCTTTTGCCTGTTAAATTTTGTATGAATTAATATTGGCATTAATATTAGAGTTATGCTAAAAAGGGTTTTTGAGTTTCTTTGGTGTGCCTGTATGTTGGTTTCTTGTCTCAATCTGTTGAACACTGGATTGTAGGTAAACCTGTGGTCTTTTGGTGGGACTGGAGTTTGAACTCAGGGCATTGAGCCACGAGCACGCTACCATTTCAGCCATGTCTCCTGTCCATTTTGCTCTGGTCATTTTGTACCTATGGTCTCAAATTATTTGCCCATGATGGCCTTAAACTGGGAACCTCCTGGTCTCAGCCTCTCATGTAGACAGAATTATAGACCACTGGCTCAGGTATTAAAGTTTCTTCTTTTGTATTGAAAGTATTATTGATTTTTTCTCAAGTGCTGGCACTTCAAAACTATTTTTATACTATGTAGGAAACAATAGCTGGTATGTATATTATGGATAAATTTCAATTTAGTAGGAAATTTTTTTGTACTGGAGTCTGTTTTTTTTTTTTTTTTTTTTTTTTTTTGCTTTGCAGTACTAGGGTTTGAACTCAGGGCCTTCACCTTGAGCCACTCCACCAGCCCTTTTTTTGTGAAGGGTTTTTTAGAGATAGAGTCTTGCTAACTATTTGCCCAGGGTGGCTTTGAACCGTGATCCTGCTGATCTCTGCCTCCTGAGTTGCTAGGATTACAGGTGTGAGCGACTGGTGCCAGGTTAATAGGAAATTTTGATAGTATATGAATTTAGTTGGCCTTTCATGGGTGTGTGCTTACTTTGTGTTTTGCCAGTGGTTGGCATGATCTATTTTTTTTTTGTCCATTTATCATTAAAATACTGTCTCTGTGTGATTATATCTTGCCATTGTTGGTTACCTCTTCCAGGAGCACTTTTCATATGTAGTCTTTCATGTTATGTGAAATTGTTTCTCTTACTCTCTTGCTTGCTGTTTTTGCTGTGTAAATAGCATGTTTTTAAGACCATGTGGTACTTATACCACTTCCAGGACCTGAGTTCCATCTCCAGTATCTCCAAAAAGAAAAAGTGCAAGGCGCAGGGGCTCATGGTTGTAATTCTAGCTACTTGAGGTTTGAAGACAACCCTAGCATATATTTCTTGAGATTCTATCTGTAATAACCAACACCGTAAAGAGCTTGCAGAATGGTTCAAATGGTAGAGTGCCTGCCTAGCAAGCACAAAGCCCCGAGTTCAAACCCCTCTACCAGTACCACAAAAGCAAGAAAAGAGAGAGAAGGTGACCCATGTGCACATGTTGTTGGGGCTAGAGTGGAATAAGAGACTTGTTGCCCTCTGGTGTAATTGTTATCATCCTTGTAGTGTTTAATAGTCAAGTGTTTGGAAAACCAAAAGCTGGACAATCTTTGAGTTCATTTTATTCCCTTTTTCCTATTTGAGGCAGGGTCTCACCATTATAGCCCAGGCAAGCCTCAGTTCACTGTGTCAACCAACATGGCCTCGAACTTATAACAACTCCCACGTTTGCACGTAATTGTTTGACCCTTTTCTTTTTCTCTTTTTTTAAATTTATTTTTGTGGAACTGGGGTTTGAACTCAGCACTTTGCACTTGCAAAACAGGCACTCTACTGCTTGAGTCAGGCCTTTAGTCCATTTTTGCTTTGGTTATTTTGTGGTTTTTTTTTTTTGGATGCACAGGAGTTTGAACTCAGGTCCTCATGCTTGCTGTTTGGGCTGCTCCACCAGCCCTGCTCTGGTTATTTTGGAGATGAGGACTTGTGAACTGTTTGCATGGACTGGCCTCATGATCCTCCAGATCTCAGCCTCCCAAGTAGCCTAGATTGCAGGTGTGAGCCACTGGTTCCTGGTGAGTTCCTTCTTTTTTCTGTAGGGAACTCACCTCAGAAATTCATGCAGTGCACATATAATGTGACACATCTGTCAGTCTCATTGTGTTTTCATTCTCTTTTTCAGCCTGCATAATTCCAGTTATCTTTTTATCTTCATGTCACTTGATTCTTTGTTCTGCTTTTTCCAATCCACAATTGAACACTTGTGGTGATGTGTTCATTTGACTTGAATTTTGAACTGGCATAATTTGTGTATGGTAGTTTTGATCATTTCTGTTTGTTTATTAATATCTTTTTTTAACTCACATCTCCTTTCTGGTTTCCTGTAGTTCTTTTACCATGGTTGCCTGTACCCCTTTGATCTTTGAAGTGACTGAAGTTTCTCAGAAATGGTTTCACTCCATTTTTTCCCATTGATGAGTCATATTTCTTTCTTTTGTGTACTCCTTGTGATTTCTTTTCACTGTTGTAGTAACTGGACATTTTAGTAGTCTGGTGGGGTAACTTTGGAAATTGTGTTCTCCTACTTTTCCCTTTTCCCTGGTTGAGGTAGGATAATGGGGGAGGGTATAGTGGGTTTGTTTGTTTGTTTGTTTATTGTGGTAATGGGGATTAAGCCAGCAGCCTTGTGCTTGCTCCTCAAGACCTGGGGTTTTTCTTTTGCCCTCGAACGGTTGATTGTAAAAATCTCCCCAGTTGGTTTGCCTTCTGAGAAATATTTTTTTTCAAGACAGAATTTATAAGAAACCCCAAATTTTCACAATAGATCCTTTCCCCTGCTCCTGTTGTTGCTAAAAGGTTGTGGTTTTTCTCTGCTTTTTCTCATAGGAGAATCCTGTAGGGTTTTGAGATAAAACTCAAAAATTTGGGGTAGGGACATGGATCAAGTGGTAGAGTGGCTGCCTAGCAAGTACCAGGCCCTGAGAACAAACCCCAGTACTGCAAGGAAAAGGAAAAAAAGACAGAGAAGGAAGGAGGGCTTAGTAAGGAAGGAGACAAACCTGGCAAATGTGTAGGGCCTGGTGAAACTGGGCCCTTTGGAGATTTGATTTCTCAGCCTTGTCTTCTCTCTTCCTTCAGCAATTCTTGAAGGACCCTTTTGGTTTTCTTACCTTTGCTCTGTTTATGGGTTTCTCTCATCTCCCTGTGTTTCTCGAGTTTGCCTTTGACCTTAGTTCTCTGAGTCTGATTTCAAATTTCTTAGCTTTTCTTCTGTTGTATGGATGAGGCTGTCCCCTTCTGTGTCTTTGTGTTGGAATGCAAACTGGAAGTAGGTGACTCCTTTTTTTCATTTTTGGTCACAGTGCTTAACCCTCAGTATTTCTTCTTCCCCTAGTGTCTCAATCTAAGATAAGGTGATCCAAAGCTTAGAGAACCCCTCCACTGGTGCTGGCAAGAGACAGGCCAGCCAGTCCTCTGCCCCTGGGAGTGAATTCTCACTATAGCATCCCTATTTATTATACCCCACAAAGCTCCCAGACCTGGCTCTTTCCTTTCTCTCTCAAGACACTTACTATCTGCTTGAGAGGTCTGCTGCAGTCTCCCTGAGCCCTCAGGTAAGTGATCAACAAGCCTTTCCTGTCCTCAGTTTTGGATTACATATTCTCAGCGTGAACATCAGAACCTCATGTCCGTAGGTGACGAGAGCAGTCTGCATGCTATGCAGGATGTCTACAGCTTGTCCACTTCCCAGATCTGTGTTTTCTTGCTCAGGCTTGCTGCCCTGCTCTGCTGCTGGAAGACCAGCATGCACTGTGACCTTTCTTTGTCAGGTGTCTGGGTTTATCATTTCATGACTTGTGCCGCTTTCTTCATTCTGCTCAGTCTATGAATTCCAACTCCTTGTCATGTTACAAGGGAGAGAAACCATAAAGCAATGAGTATATTCTTTCCCAAATATGGTTTCTTATGTAAAGTATTTACGATAATTTATATTCACAAAAGAATAAATAAGTTGTTTCTGGTAAGATTTAATAATAATAACAATATAAATACCCATGGTATACTCACCATATTCATAACCAGGTTTTGGCAGTCATTTCTTTTTTCTTCTTTTATTTGGGCAGTATTGGGTTTGAACTCAGGGCATCAAACTTGCTAGGCCTATCACTTGTGCCACTCCACCAGTTGTCATTACAAGTCATTACATTCCTTGTGTGATCTAAAAATTTTTTTTTGTAGTACTGGAACTTGAACTCAGAGCCCCAACACTTGCTAGGTAGTCACCCTACCACGTGAGCCACTGTGTCAGCTCTCCTAGTGTGATTTTTCATAACACTCCCATAGGACTTTTTTTTTTTTTTTTTTTAGTTTTTCCCCATTGGGACTTCCATTAAGTGAGTATTAAAGGAATTTCCAAGCAAAGTATTGTAGGTATTTTCTTTGCCTCCTTGTGTTCCTCACATGCTGGTGTCTTAGGCTGGGGCCATGGTTCTTCCTCATTTGTTGGGATGTTCTCAGAGCTCTGGCTTTTTCTGTGCTTTTCAGTGCTGTGAAGAATAGCACATCTGTCTCTGGGTTACCAATGAACAGCATGTTATCTTGACATTAGAGAAAAATTCTTGGTCATAGATTGGTAAAGTTCAAATAACAGCAAATATGAGTGGAAGCTATCAGTTGATCCTCCATTCAAGCTTACCTCCCTGCTTACCTGCTGTGGACTTGAATACCTACTTCTTAATTGGTTATTTCTTTCAGTAAAACCGTCAGTGTTGTTTTAGTATGCCTTCTTTTATGTTAAGCTAGGTATGTGTGTGTTGGTTGTTTTTCTTTACTTCTTTTTGGTACTGGGTTTGAACTCAGAGCCTCGTGCTTGCTAGGCAGGCACTCTTACCACTTGAGCCACTCCATCAGCCCTTTTTTTGTGATTAAAAAATTTTTTTTTTGAGATAGGGTCTCCTGAACTCTTTGCCCAAGGCTGACTTCAAACCATGATCCTTCTGATCTCTGCTTCTTGAGTAGCTAGGATTACAGGCGTGAGCCATTGGAGAATGCTCTGTGACTTTCAGTTTTAGTTTTATATGACTTATTTTGCTTTTCATTTCTAAGAGTTCTGTTTGGTTCTCTCTCAAAATCTATCTCCTTACTGTATTTCTTCTTGTTGAATTACTACTACAGCGGGTATGGAAATCTCTATTCAGTTGATACTGACTCCTTGAAAGCAATTCTGATTGTGCTAATCCAGTTTTGGTAAAAGACCTTAAATTTCTTAGTGGTTATGTCCTACCTGGTCTCAACCAGGGTACCAGTGAGACTGGGTTGTAGCTATAGCTGGAATGAATTCCTCTCATTCCACCTGGGGTTGTGAGTCTAAGAGACCATCTCATTGACCATGTCAAGGGAATATTGACCACGCCAGGGTATTTTCTCTCTGGAGGCTTTTAGACTGCACACCTGGCTGTGGCATTTGCTGAACCACAGCAACCCTTTCTCCTGACCATGTTTCCCCAGAATGTGGCACATACCTGGCAGGCATATGTTGCTGTGACTTTTTGAAACTGTGCCCAGGGATGTGACAAGTTTCAAACACTTAGGGGATCCTTGGAATGCTGTGAGGATGTGGAGAACAACTGCACCACCCACTTCTGTGTTGGATAGACTTGTGGGACCAAGTGACTTGCTGACCTTCATTCTGGTGGGTGTCCAGACCCCGAACTCTGAGAAAAAATACACAACTCACTGTGTATTGTGAGTTGTGCATCACTTCACAACCCAGAGGATGTCTTAACATTTTCATTTTATGTTTCAGTTATCATACATTAACAACTGGAGGGGATTTCATTGGGAAAATCCTGTACATGAGTATAGCGGACAAGTTCACCCCTCCCATTTTACTTCCATCACCCTTCTACCGCTTTCCCCCCTTTCAAAGAGTGTTTGGTGGGTTTCATTATGCTTTCTTCACATAGATAGATAGATAGATAGATAGAGAGAGAGATAGAGAGATAAAGCAGATAGTGCTTCCATCTCATAACCTCTCAGTAAAGGCCTTTATGATGGATAGATTTGAATGTTTTTGCCCATTTCTTTCCTTTTTTTCTTTTTTGGTGGTACTAAAAAGAACTAGCAAAGGGCCTCACCCTTTGCTAGGCAAGTGCTCTACCACTTGAGCCATTCTGTTAGCCCTGACCCATTTCTTATTAAGAGAAAAATTTGTATTTTTACATGCAAGAGGTTTGACTGTGGCTTCTCACAGTATTCAGGCTTTATTTTTCTCTTTTCCCATGAGTTACAGGGAATATGATGCATGTTTCTAAGTAAATGCTACTTTGTCCTTGTCTTAGGTGTAAGGTTGTGATTTCTGCCACTGTTGTACTGTGCCTGGTCTGCCATGAACCACTTTTCAGTAACTTGTGGGCCCAGTGCTTACTGCTTTGCTTTCCCAAGGTCTGTGTCCTAATCTCTCTGTTCACAGTGTCTTGTATAGTGGGAGAGTCTTAGCCAGCTTGCCATTGCTGTGATAAAACACCTGAGAAAAACAACTTATGGCTTGCAACCCATGGTCTGCTGGTTCTGTTGCTTTAGGCCTGTGGTGAGGTAGTGTTGGAGGAGGCTGCTTACCTCATGGCAGTTGGGAAATAAAAGAGCCCAAAGAGTTTGGAACAAGATAAATCCTTAAGTCCATGTCACTGTGGCTTGCTTCCCCCACCTAGGCCACACCTGCTACACGTTACAGCCCCTCCTAGTAATGCATTCATTTATGAATCACCAATGGATTAATCTATTGATAAGATCAGAGTCCTCATGATCCAATCACTTCCCCAAAACCCCACTTCAGAACACTGCTGCTTTGGAGACAAAGTCTTCAACACACTGGGAGGACATTCAGATCCCAACACGGGATTTCTATCATGGATTTTTTTCCCCAGATTTTTTTGTTTTGTGGGACTGGGATTGGAATTCAGTGCTTCAGTGTTTACAAAGTAGGTGCTCTACCACTTGTGCCACACCTCCAGTTGATTTCCAAAGCTAGGGCCTCATGAACTGTTTATCCTGACTGGCCTCAAACTATAGCCCTCCTGATCTCAGTCCCCGAAATAGCTAGGATTGCAGGCATAAGCTGCCAGCAGGTGACTTGTTCCATAGATTTTTAACATTGTTGGACATATATTATCCATACCTGATTAGGTAAAGTGGTTTTAGATTGCATAGTCAAAGATCTAATTTGGGGGTGATAAAATTTTATAGATAGGTGTGGGGATGGCATTGAGTGGTTTCTAAGAGCAAATGTGTTTTTCTCCCCTTCTTTCATTGTTGACATTCTCTAATATAAACCATGATGTTTTTCCCTTAGCATAGTGAATTATCCATAAGTCTTTCTCAGTGTGTAACATTGGTCAAAGAGAAGCCAGACACAAGCTTTTGTGAGTTGTCTCAGTTTACTCACAGACCATGTGCTCAGTTTCCCAAGCTCAATTGTGATTCAGCGTGCAGATGGTATTTTCTGGGCTGACTAGGTGGGCCCTCTGTGATGAGCATGTTAGAAGCTTTTAGAAGGACATCAGAGTTCATATTGTTGGCATGATTGTTCAGGAGCCCTGAGCCCTCTTTATAGTTAGTGGTGATGACCTTCCTGACAGCACTTCCTAGATCCCAGCTAAAGTTGAACTTGGGTCTCAAGCATATCTAAAAACATGCAGTCTCCAGATACCTAGTGTTAGCCCTCCTGCAAACTCACTAGTAGGACTTTGTGATGAGAGGTGCACCAGGTCCTGTGCGTCCAAAGTGAAATTGGGATATGCAGCACCACAGTGAGTGATTCCTGTTCTGTTCTTGCTTTACCAAATAGTTTGTATTTAGCATGAGAATTGCTGCATGTTGTTGGAGAGTTAGGAGCGTGATGATTAGGACATGGCCTGAACATGTAGGGAACACATTTGAACTTCTAATTTCTCCATTGTTTTCTCTCCTTTCCTCCTGGAAATGCATGTGGGATGTTTTAGGAGTCTGTGACCTTTGAGGTTCTGGCTGTGAACTTCACCTTGGAGGAATGGGCTCTGGTGGATTCTTCTCAAAAGAAGCTCTACAAAGATGTGATGCTGGAAATCTTCACGAGCCTGGCTGCTGTAGGTAGGGATGACATCATTCCCTAACTTAGTGAATGACAGAACCAGAGTTTCATGCTCATCAGTGCTGATCAGTGATGTGGAATATAGAAGGGCTAATAGGGTTACCATCCAGGCATGGTTGCATTGTTTTATAAAAACCTATAATCTAGTATTTCCTCTAAATGACATGTTCCATAATGACTTTTCTGAATCTACATTTTAGGAAGAAAACAGGAAGACCCCAATAGTGAAGATGACTACAGATAATTCCAGGAGAAATGTAAGGTAATTTTCCCTTACAAGTGAAAGCCATAAGCCTCCAGAACTAGTGAATGATGGGAAACTACAAAAGAGCCCTCATTCTAGTTAACTTAGTCTCAGTTTTCTCCAACAATACATATAGGTCAAGTGTGTGTCATGGGGAAATCAAAATTCTGATATATTCTAGTATGGAAAATAGCTGAAGCACTGACATCATCCCCCAAGTGAAGCGTTCAATATATCGGATACTGTGTTCCATGCATCAAGTTACTGATAATGTATGAAATTACTCTTGAATTTTGGGTATACGCATATGTGAAACATAAAGAAATTTCATGGTTAGACTGGGACCATCTTCAGGATATCTTGTGTATTTGCAGGTACTTCAAAATCTCCAGTAGTGTTGCTCTAAGGGTTTTGAAGAAGGCATGCTCAAGTGCATTTTAATGTGACTTAGGGAGCTGGTGTGGTGGTGCATGCATGCTCAAATACATTTACAGTGCATAAAACAAGCAATACTCCTGGTAAGTAATTCATAAATAACCTTAATAATGTGCTTCCAATTTTTTTTTATAGATGTCAAGTCTTGAAAACACTTTGTGAAAAAAAAGGCATCAAGTGGGTTCCACACATAATTGTGAATAGGAAAACTGGAGTAAAACTGTGTGAAAGAAGTCCTCATGGGTCATTCATCACTAAATGTGCCCACCAGTGTTCAGATGGGACACAAAAATTATGAACACCTGGAATATGGAGAGGAGCTATATAAATGTTTGGAATGTGGGAGAACTTTCAGCTATGCCAAATGCTTTGAGGAGCATAAACGATCTCACACTGGAGAAAAGCAGAATGTATGTAAATACTGTGGGAAAGTCTTTACTTATCCCAGTTTTCTTCTGTGCCATGAAAGGACGCACCCTGGGGAGAGACCCTACTTTTGTGAACTATGTGGAAAAGCCTTTAATCGTGTGAGTTTGCTTCGAAGACGTGAACACACTCACTGTGGAGGGAAGCGCTGTGTTTGTAATCAGTGTGGGAAAGTAAAGACATCCTTATTCTTACATCCTGGGTGGATGCATCCGGGCAGGATTGTCAAAGTAGTGAGGATGACAGTTAAAGTTTATTAAAGGTTAGGGAAGTGAGGTACAAAAGGCCATGCCTGGCCAGAGGGAAGCTGAAAGTAGTGAGAGAGAGAGAGCGAGAGAGAGCGAGAGAGCTCTGTTTCACTGCTAACCTGTGGGAGGGGAAAAACTTGAGCAGTTTTTGATCACCAATAATCAGTGAGTGGGGAGGGGGTTGGGTGGTCCCCAGGCTAGCATGTGATCAATATTCATATTTTTATCTGAGGGATGATGAGGGGTAGAAGCACCCACAGGCTTTTATCTTACAATTTATAACAGGAGAGGAGAGCATTGGACTGAGCAAGGAGTTTAGCATGGTACGTGCCAAGGTAAGTTACATGTGGGGTCTGAGGAGTTCTGTGGCATTTTTGTATGTCCTAGCCTGCCTCAGATTTACAGTGGAGAGAATCTCTCTGTATGTGAGCAGTGTGGGAAAGGCTTGTCTTGTTTGAGTCAGGTTTGAAAATCTGAATGAACCCACACTGGGCAAATTTCATTGACAGAGAATGGGAATTCCTTAGTCTAGAGTGTGGAAAGGCGTCATTACCATATGAACCTTCAGAATAGGGAAGAAGATAAGCAAGGTGTCAGTTCAACCTCCTTTCCAAATTCCTTCTGTAGTGGAATCATATGAGTGACTTTTGATACTAAGTAATTTATGCAGAATGTTCCACAAATCACACAACCTGAAGGAAATCTTCTAAAGTTATATTGTGCTTACCCATGGGTCTCTTGAAGTAGATCTGTGGATATGTATTTCTAATGTTCACTCCTGAAAATAAAGACATAGTTCTCTAAGGTTTGTTTAAGCAATAGTGTGTTAGTTTACTCTGGTACTTAACTTTGATCCTTTCATTTTGAGTCATGTTGGGTGATTGTGTGATTTCAAGTGTATTTCCACTGTTCTATAAGACAATTTTTATGTGTTTTAAAACTTTTTACCCTTTTTTTCTTTTGTGGTTCTGCAGCTTGAACTCAGGGGTTTTGTTGAGTCAGGATTTTGCCAACTATTTGCCTGGGCTGACTTTGAACCAAGATCCTCCTGATCTCTGCCTCCTCGGTAGCTGGGATTACAGGTATGAGCCACCGGCACCCAGCAAATGAGATTTTTTTAAAGTGGATTTTATATTTTTTACCTTTTTTTTTTTTTTGTGGTGGGTCTGAGGTTTGAACTCAGGGCTTAGCATTCACAAAGCAGGGGCTCTACCACTTGAGTCAAACCTCTACAGTTTTTACTTTTTGATGTATTTTCTTCAAGCAAGATATTCATACATAGTGGTAGAGTTCCTGCCTGGCAAGCATGAAGCTCAGAGTTCAAACCCCAGTACCAAAAAAAAAAAAAAAAAAAAAAGGTTTTTGTACATGTGTTGTAGAAAGAATTTTTTTGTTTTTTGGTGTTTTTATTTTGTGGTACTATGGTTTCAACTCAAAGCTTCCCACTTGCTAAGTAGGTGCTCTACCACTTGAGCTACGGATTTATTCTTACTCTTTTTAAAGCAGCTGCTGGTGTTTGAACTCAGGGTTTCATGCTTGAAAGGCACTCACTCTAGCAGTTGAGCCAGGCCTCCATCCCTTTTTATTCTGGTTATTTTGAAGATAGGGTCTTGCTTTTGGCCCAAGCTGGCCTGGAGTGTTGTCCTCCCATGTTATGCTTCTCTCTGTGCTGGGATGACAGATGTGAGCCACCTTTTTCCCTTGAGATGGAGTTTGCACATTTTTTTCCCCTCTCCATCTCAGCCCTCCTTCTTAGCTTGGGATTATAGGCTTGCCATTGCACCTCGCTATTGGTTGAGATAGCGTCTCATGAACTTTTTGCTGGGTGACTGCTAACTGTGATCTTCTGGATTGCAGCCTCCAGAGTAACTAGATGGTGTGAGCACCAGATCCCAGCTTTCAGAAGGATGTTGTTTTCTTGTGTGGAATTTTTCATGAGTTTGCTAGCCATCCTTGCGCAGGGGCATTTTAATAATCTTCTCTGTATCATTCCAATGTTATTATATACTAAAATTGAGCACTAGAAAGACTTTCTTAACTGCTGTAGCCAAGTTACATAATAGTTGAAATCTTTTTTATTTACTGAGCGCGTATCTGTAAATATTCCATCATCATAATAATTTAGATCAACTTTACAAGTTTGCCAAATTTTTACTTTCATGATGAGAATCCTTATTTCATATGCTTACAAGTTATTGTGTATTTTCCTTATGTAAATCTTACTTCCTGTTGGTGTTGTCATACTTTTATGTAATTTGTTTTTCCATTATCACACTGGAAGTGACATCATTCAGGTGTGAGTGTTCCCTTGCTAAAGATCACAAGGACTGTACCTTTTGTGAACTTATCTGGAAGGCTGTAATAATGTATTCCTAGAAGTAGCACTTAATGAAGACTTTTTTTTTTAGATTATATTAATGGTACAAGGGGGTGTCCTTTTGATTTTTACATAATTGCATATATTTCACTTTGATCAAATCCACCCCCTCTATGACTCTCTCATCTCCTGCCTTCCCTTAACCCCCTCATTGACTCTTACTTATTCTCTCAGTCTATAGCACCCTGTTCCACCTCAGAAGTCTTGCAGGAGGGGCTCAGTATTCCAGCCATATTGCTAATTACAGATAAAAATAAGTTGTAAATGAGGCTTGAGGGGTGGCTCAGGAGATAGAGCTCTTCCTACCAAGCTCTGAGTTCAACCCCAGTACCAACAATAAATAAATAAATAATAAATAAATAAATAAATAAATACAATGTCAATGTTCGATCCTTGAGCAGGCCTGGGTCTTTCTGACTACCTCACCATTCTCCATCCTGAAACTACCTAGGGGTCTCCAGCCAGTAGGCTTCACACTAGATAGCAAAGACAGTCTTTTCACTGCAGAGATGACAGAGGCGTTAGGAACTGCACAGAAAACCTTAGAACAACACCCACTCATGGAATATTTGATGTGTTTCTCTGTGACAGGCTATGTTGTTTAGCTGCAGAGAAAATGTCCTCTTACTGACTCACAATATCACCATCTGTCCTGAGGATCACTTCAAATGGATAATTTAAATAAAGAGGTGTAATTGAACCTCAGAAGGATCAAGCTAGGGCCAGTTAGGTTTTATAAACGTGAAAGGTATTTCAAGGATGCTTACTATTTAACTATAGAAATGACTGTGATCCTAGCACTCAGTAGGTGGAGACAGGAGCACGAGTTTGAGTTCAACCTTGGCTACACAGTGAGCTGCAGGTCACCTGAGCTACATATCAAGACCCTGCCTCAAAAAGCCAAAGAAACAACAAGAAATGATGATAGGTCACCCCTGTTGAGTGTGAGGTGGAGAGACAGTATCAGAAAAGGTAATCACAACATTACCTTTGTGACACTGGTGTACCTGGGGACACCAGTGTCAAGGTGAGTGAATCTGAAGCAGAGGAAATGCTTCACTCATGGGACAGTTGACATTTGAGTAGCCATTTTCCCCATAGTTCACATGAAAATAACACTTTGCTGCCTTACTGGAATTCTCATGTGAATAATTATTTTTAAACCCATTTTGTCAGAATTTTACTTGTGGACGTTACACAAACATTCCGAAGGAATGTGGGACATTCCTGGCTTCATATTCCAAGAATTGGATTCAGCATATTTGTCTCAGTTAACTTCAGCATTGGAGGAGAGCAAGTGAATAACCTGCAGTGGGGTCAGAGGCCACAGTCTTGTGGCTCCAGGCTGAGGTCCCTCTTGCAGCAGCAAAGGAAGGACTAGGAGGTCCCTGTGGTGCTTCCTTCCCTGCATGTGGCCTCCAGCTGCTCAGAGCAGTGGGAATGAGAGACCCAGGTGGTCGTCCAGGAGGAAGCCTGTGCAGGGAGAGCTGTGGCTGCGTAGTGTTTTCCTGCTGTGCTTGAAACGGGGAATCGCACGTGCTGTCAGTCATGAAGGAGGGGCGGGTCCTGCATCCCTGGCTAATCAGAGTCTCTGGGCGGGGCTCTGCGAGCCGTCCAATCAGAATGGCCGGCGGGAAGCGCGGTGGGGGGGGCGCCGCCATGTTTGGTGCCCGCCTCCGGCGAGAGGAACTTCCGGGTTCGGGTCCGCGCTTTGTGACCTGCTGTGGGCCCAAGGGCCGCTGGAAGACGCCAGGACGTCCCCGAAGCTGGAAATGGTGAGTGTTCGGAGGCGGGGAGAGGGGGGCTGTGGGAACCGGCGGGATCCGGGCTCCCAGCGTCAGATCTGGAGTGTGCGGCAGAGTCCGCCGCTGGCGCCGCCCCGCTGTGTGCCCTATGGCCGCAGCAGTGGCCGGCGTCCTGTCCTGTCCCCGTGCGGCGACTTGGGTCCCCGCCGGAGCCCCCTGTCCCTCCGCGCCCGCAGCCCCGCGTCTCCCCACAGCGCGGTGCCGGCGGAGGTGGCGGGAGGCTCCCGAGTGGCCGCGGGGTCCGTGCGGGAGGAGCGGGGTCCGTGGGGTCCCCGTCCCCTCGGTGAAGACCTGAGTGCCCTGCATTTTCCCGGTGTGGCGAAGCGGCGTCTCACATGCAGGACCAGGTCCCTCAGGCCCGCGCTGCTTAGCGCTGGCAACAAGTCCCTGGACTTCCCGTGTCCCCACGTCGCCCATCGCACTGGAAGGCGGTGCACGCGCGCGTGGGCTTGGGGTTCAGTGGAAGGGGAGACGCGTGGCCCCTTCTGACAGCAGTGCTACTAGCCAGCGACTCAAGAAGGACTGAGAATGGAGGCAGGACCCACCTTGCTGCAGAGGAGGGACAGCCCTAAGTGCAAGGTGGCCGGGTCTCAAGGGCGAGGCCAGCAGGCTGTGCTTTCTAGGAAGCAGCAGACAGGAGAGAGGAGGGCGATGGAGGGGCAGCAGCAGCTCCTGGGCCAGGGGACGTGTCCCTGAGGCCACCTGTCCTTAGGGTGACATAAGGCAGAGTGCTGGCGCAGGCTGGGGGTAGTTAGCGATCAGAGGCCTGGAGGAAGGAGAGCAAGTTCAGGAAAGTTTGCTTAGTAAGAGTTCTGTTTCTTCTGATCAGTTGTGGTAATGATTTTGAGGCAGAGTGGGAATTTGAGGTTTGTGGCCCCCTTGTAGGTTAGAGAAAGTGAGCTTCCCCTAAGTTCACTGCCAGGTGTTTCCTTGCTCTTGGTGCTGCCCCAGGACAGAAGGCTTTGTGATTGGGACTTCTTTCTTCACTGTGCTGACCAGACACCTGCATTTGTGTAACACTCAACATCGTCAGCTGTTTGCTTTTGCCTGCAGGTGGTGGTTTGTGCTTGTTGACAAAATCTGTAGGATCAGTCAGAAATATTCATCATTGGGTCAAGTGAGCCAGAAAAGATGGTTTATGGATTTGAGGCTTATCTGGGTGTGTAGTACTATAAAAAATTTTTCTGTTGTTATTCTCTCTCTCTTTTTTTTTTTTTCCTCGAGGTACTGGGCCTACATCTAGGTACAGGGCTTACACCTTGAGCCACTCCACCAGCCTTTCTTTTTTACGATTTTTTTTTTCCAGATACATTCTCTCAAACTATTTGCCCAGGCTGGGTTTTCAATGCAATCGTCCTGATCTGCCTCCTGAATAGGTAGGATTACAGGCGTGAGTCACCAATGTCTACAAGTTGCCTCAAATTTCCTGGCAATGGGAACGTCTGTTTATCATAATCCCCGTTCAGGCAATATCTGAATTTACAGAAATGAGGTCACTCAGAGTGTCACCCCTCATTAACTTCAGAACCAGGAGTGGTGACCAGGCTGAGGAAGTACATGTTTGGCCTGCCGCCTGCAGAGGGGACAGTGCAGTTGAATGGAACACTGAACTTGTGGGGGTCTCTGCTAACTGGGAGAGCAGGTTGAATTGTGGGACACCTAGTTGGTATTGGACAATTGCGTGGCATTCCTCACATTCCACCATACACCACACATTAGATGTCATTAGTGACATCAGAAACAGCACAGGTCAGAACCTTCAGCCGACTGTGGGCGAGTGGTGCTGGGCAGCATTGAGCCTGTGGAGGAGCCTTTTTT